CAAGACAAGAAAAACACAGATAAAATTTCTCTATGGTATTACATTACATAATACACACGAACACACTATAGTTATTTGTATTCATTCAATTTCTCTGTGCAGAATTAAAATACCCCTTACATCATACAGACATTAAAGACAGTAGAGCTCAACAATTCAACATGTCAGCAGGAGGGAAGGGAGAAAAAATAGAAACCCGTCTGTTCTGGACTACGCTTCGCTCCCAGGTTAATTGTCATTGGTCGGTTGAGTTTATCCTGGCCGCAGTCACTGCCAATCTGCTGTCATCCAGCCTAATCCTCTGTTGGCAGGCCAGGTGGTTCTCTGTGTGACGGACAAAAGAACAGTGACTGTGGAAATCTTGACCTCTCCTGTCCTTCAGCAGCAGCTAACCATGTCAGCATTTAAATTCTGCATGTGGGCTCCTGCAATGAGCATAAAACTAATGTAGGATCAAACTTTGTCAATATAGAACTCAATATAAAAAGCAGTTATTTTGAAAAATCATTGCTGTTTTAGGTTTTGCACCATAATCCTCATTTGGAAATGTTTAAATCACATAACTGTATATTCAACTCCAAACCAGTTACTGGTTTGCTTTGCCAAATTGTGTAACCACAGAATCAGCAGGCAGGGTGGCGGGCCTGACAAAGGGTCATGGCTCAAATATCCTCAACTGGAAGTTCATGGCCTATTTAACAGTCACCTGATGAAGCACAGAACAAAGTAGACACTGTTTATCCTCATATTTACAACACTGGACCTATGTGACTAAGGAGACCACAAACATGGTACATGTGAATAAAGGCCACAGTCTATTCCAGGTGTTCAGAGTGACACTGTGGTAACCACCTCAGTCAAAAGATAACTGGAAACCATCATCATTAGAAATGTGCCAAAATAAACCATTAGCAGTTCCTGTTTGTAATTCACACATTGGATGTACACTGTAATACTTAAGGACCCCCCCCCCCAAAAGTTAGCCCTGGACAAATGTGCATCATGTCCATGTGCTGAAATGACTGACTTATAACTCAGCATGAAATTTTACATTTGCATAGACTGAGCCCTTTAACAACTACAGGCTCAAAGTGAGATGCGGTGTAGCTTCAGTCAGCACAGAGGAAGGCTGCAAGTGTACCAGACTTCAGTAAAACGGTCTACACTGAAGCTAAACAGATCCATTTTCAGCAGAACAAAAAGCAAATGAAAATGATGCACTAAGCAAATCATTAAAGAGATAAGTGGTAGAAACATGAGTAACAAGACTGCAACTAAACTGGCAAGACACATTCTTTACAAACCACATTTATTCTTTTATCACAGTAAATTTACATGTAAAAAGTTGATTCCCTTTAAAACAAATGTTGTGAAATATTAATGCCAGAGTTTAAAATACAGGATTAACACTTAATTACACTGTAGACTGATACTGTATGTGCTTGACAACATGACTGTTCCTGTTAGCTCATCTATTCAAACTCCCTTTGAGAGAGGACGGTGCGGTAGAGAGAGGTGCCTTTGGCCTGGAAGAAGGTCACAATCATCTTGTTCTTTGTGACCTCTGCATGGACAAAACCTCCAAGCGTTGAAGCTTGGCCGGTGAAGAACTTCACTGAACCTTTGGGAACGTGGTTCCAGTGACGGACATCAGGATCAAGGAAGTTTCCGGCTCCACTCACCACGTAGCCGACACCGGACTCTTCAATGTACTGTAGGGGGGGGGGGACAGTGGGATCGAAGCGTTTTTAAAAAAAAATATGTCATATCAGAAATTTACCCAATACATTCTGCATGTACAAACCTGCAGATTGTGGTCGTGGCCGCAGAGGTAGGCGGTGGCCTTGTATTTAATAAGCAGAGGATTAAGCCTCTGCAGCAGACACTCTGTGGGCCCGTGTTCGGACACGGACCACACAGGGTAGTGCCCGGCCACCAACAGGAAGTCGGCCTTAGACCGAGCCAGTCTCTCCTGCAGCCAAGTCAGCTGACGGTTGGCATCCACCTCACGGAGGGGGCCTCTGGGCTTCTCATCTGTGTAGTCGTCAGAGTTGCCACACAGCATGATGGTGTCGAGCATGATGACGGTCAGGGTCTTCCCAGTGTTGGGGATGCGGAAGTTCAGCTCGTAATAATAAGAGGGAAATTTCCTGCGAATCAGTAAACAAAGCTCAACTAAATGTTTTTAGTTGAACACTTACTCTAAATACCATAAATAGCATTTGAGGATACAACTTTTTTTATTAAAGTTACTCCTTACCATCTGTCAGATTTGCGGCTGTAGTCAATCTGGGCTTTGACGTTCCCTGCGTGGTCGTGATTACCAGCAAGCACATACCAGGGGACTCTGAGAGACTTCGCAGTGTACACAGACTCAAAAGTGTCCTGACAGGAAGAGTCAAAAAGAGAAACCAAGTAAAAACCAAATCCACCAGTTTGCTTCATCATCACTTTTTCACTCTTGGCAGAACGGCATTACAGGTTCTCTCGACTGACCTTAAACCGAGGAGAATCCACGCTGTCCACACCTCTGTAGTAGAAGTTATCGCCAAGGGCCAGAACAAAGTCAGCTCCCATCTGCTCTGCTATTTTGCTCATTTCTCGAGCAGTAGCCTTCTGCACAGCGGTGATATACGGGGGATAAGGCACTCCACCCCAGTCTCCTATAGCCAGGAACTTAATGGAGGTTCTGTTGTCTGTGAAGAGAACAGAAGATAAACATCTTAGGAGCTGAGAACCTGAGGAGCACACGCTGAAAAACATTGTTCAGTCGAGATCAAAGCCGGTATGAAACGATACTTACTGCTACTTTCCACCAGGTCTTGAAAGGCAGTGGGATAGCAGCGGGCCATAGAGATGGCAGCAATTAAGATGGATACCAGTAGAAGTGCCATCTTTAAGGAGAAAACACAGATCTCCGGTTAGCAACAGAACAAAACGCAGCTCAAACAGAGACGAGACATTTGGCTCAAACTGAAAGTAAACTCATATATAGGCAAAGAAAACAGAAGAGGAACATGAAACAAGCGTGACAAACCACAGCTGCAGCTTACCACACAAGCCTGCGCTGCCTCCGCCTTTCTGCTTTCTCCGTTCACCTTCCCTCCCCACCGCACTAAACAACTACATGGCCTCTTGCTTTTTATGCTGACAGGTGACTTGTGATTGGCTGCAGTTTGAAGCTGACATGTTCCAGCTGGAGCTAATGGAAGCTAATCAAAGCAGCCATGTGTGTGAGTCTGATAAGGTCAGAGGTCACAGTTTCCTTTTTGTCGAAGCATATCTGTGTATCTGTGCTTCTTTTAAATAAGAATCATAACAGATAACATAACAGATCGAATGACCTTCACCAGCCTCAGCAGAGACACCGCAAAACAAAAGTACAGCAGCATCTAAAGCCTCATTCCACTCCTAGTGAAGAGAAAAGTGGCTGACAAGAAAAACAGCTTGAATGTGTGAAGAGTAGGTGTCGGTGTGCAGAGATAATAATGTCAAAGATAAAGCACTCACTGGAGAGGTGTGCTCAGGATGACCTGACGGGACACTGTCTGTCCTCGCAGCGCTCTTCCTGCCCTCCTTTTATCAGCATTCCCGGAGGAGAGGCCGACAGAGGACCAGCCCTGGGACACACCGCAGGGGCATGATCATTGCTCACACCCTGACTCAGTCTTGGGACTAGAGGGTCATCTGGGCCACATGTGATCCGCAGCGGTTATTATAGCTGGTGTCCAGACTCCACTTTTTCCACTTCAGTGTTAATCACTGTTTTCCTCCTCCTTTATTTTTTTTTTTAGATAAATCTTGTGCTTCCATATTTTTGGGATAAATCAAGAATAAGAAATGTAGCCTGCTGAGTTTATTTCAGCGGTCAGACGGCTCATGGCAGGGTCAAACTGTATTACAGTCTCACAGAATGCAGTCTTGTAATTTGTTTTCCACCTTTAAACTTGGGTGCACAGGACTTAATGGCCTTTTCCCACTATAATGAAAACGCACATAATTGTCTGCTGAACAGCTCCAAGGCCGAGCAGCTTAGCAGTGCATTATTATTAAATCATTACATGAATTTCCCCTAGGGGATAAATAAAGTATCTATCTATCTTATGAAGTGGGAATGTACTATTGCTGCCATAAATCACTTCGCCTCACACAGTGGAAGACAAGTCTTTACATGTGAGCCAGTTTGGCCAGTAAAGGACTGGCATTAGATGCAGGTGAAAACACTGTTCAGTGTGTGCTTGCAAATTATAAAACATTGCTTACACTGCTCACACTGACTGAAGGGGCACTCAACTGTGTATTAATAAACTGCCTGTAAATACACTTGTCTGAGAAAACGACCCTGATGGCATCACTATGATGTCATAGGACTGGAATTTGAAAGATGTACAAAATCATGGGATATGTAGGATTCAAACTAGAGAATAAAAGTCTGGACATCTCTTTCGACCATTCTTCTTTTAAATCACCACAAAATCTATGGAAGTGTTATTACTGTATTTTTCTTCTTATATCTCGTTCTCCACCATTTTAATTGCCCACATTATATTTCATGTGTCCTTGTGCTACTATCGATGCCTCCTGGGGAACCCAAGTACCTTTGATGCTACCGTGACCTAATTTCCCCACAGGGGTCAACGAGGTTTCATCACATCATTGTAACAAGACAGCTGGACATATAGACCATGCATGCTACATGATGATCCTTATGTGCATGCTGGACTGGCTGATGATGTGAAGCCATTTGCAGGATTCATGGGTGTTGTAAAACATTTGCGGTAACACAGATGTGAGGAGTATCTTTGGCATTTTTAAGGAAAGCTCAAGTTGACCCGAAGACATGATTCAAATCCTGCAGATGATCCTGCTCGACTCTGATCTGAGCTGTCATAATCGATATCAGAGCTATGCATTTATTTGTGAATTAGCAAAGTGATGGTCGGAAACTTTGCTCCAAAGTAAGAGTCATTTATTTTACGAGAATTATTAGAGCATTTCTATGTGACATGAGTGAATAAATCTTCAGTTTAAAACTATGAGCAGCTTCAAATCAAAACCATATACTGATACACAACCAGTATGTCAGGTTAAAAAACACAACAACATAAAAATAAACCAGGTATGTTTTTTTTTTACATGTCAACATGAACATGACGAGGGTTGCAGCAGTTAAAAGACAACGGGGACTTCAATAAAACATAAACTTGCATCTGTCAACTAAAATAGCTTTTAAGAGACAAGTGAGGTGAAGAGCGACAAAACAAACAAAGACAAACTGTAAAATTCCAGTTACAGAGACGACACAAGAACTTTTTCTTTTCCTTTTCAGAAGTGGTATCCCTGGATCATGATCGAGGGTGAACAATCAGAGATGGCATAGTGAGGTGAGAAAGGCTGTACATGACATGATTAGTAATTCATGTCGCTGTATCCAGAGTATGAGCCCTGGTTTTGTCCTCCGAAGCCCTGGTACATGCTGTACCCCTGCTGATTGCCCCAGGACGACTGGTTTCCCCAGCCTGTGGAACAGGGGAAAATCAGGGGGCATTAATTCTCTTTTTGTTAATACAGGACATGAATGCAGCATTGGATCGTTTTTTAAGTGTAAACAAACATCAAAAAAGTAGCATCATTAATTGATAGAAGGGCTGGAGTTCAACTTGCTACATCCTTACTCACCATAATTATTATACACTTGGCCCCCTGTCACTGAGCTGGGGTAAGCGGTGCTGTACATGGAGTAGTCTCCCTGGCCCTCATTCTGACCTTGGGTCAGCATCTTCTTCTTCTCGTCTCCGTACCCGTAGCTGTAGGGGCTCTCCTGGTCGGCGGGCGGAGGCATCGACTGGTAGCTTTCTCCCTTTGTGATGCTGTAGTTGGAGCTGGGGACGGGTGGGGAGGAGTAGGTAGTGCTGCTCTCAGGGTAAAAGGTGCCGTAGCCGATGTTGCTGCCTGATCCACTAGATCCAGGGATTTTGGCCGTGGTGCTGGCTGTGTTGTTACCATACAGCTTATCTAAAAAAAAAAAAAAAAAAAAAAAAAAAAAACAAGAACCAAGCATTGCTGCTATGTAGAATCATTTGTTTCTGACAATGTCAAATTTTTCCTCCAATGGTGAAAAACAAACAAGAGACAAGCTTGATACTATGGCAGCAATTAATAATCATCTTTTAACTGAATGATCTATAATGTCTGAAAATAGGGAAAAATGTCCCAAAGTTGTCATATTCAAATTGCTTGTTTTGTCCAAAAAACAGTCGAAAACTGCAACAAATAATCGATTATCAGATTTGTTGACAGTTACTTTCCTAGCAACTCTACTTGGACCAAACTAGAGAGCATGACAGCAGTATGACCTGAGACATGCAAGATTTGAACAGAACAACATTATTAATTATTTCAGGAAATGGGGAGTGAAGTGAAGCTTCTCTGTGACTTTAAAGCTTCTTTTTTCCCCAACAATAATAACAAAAAAAAACAATAGAATAAAAATGTCTATATTTTGTGTTGTTCAGCAGATTCACTAAAAACACAAACAGAAAATATCACAACAGTCTAACGTCAGTCTCCACAGAGCTAACAGAGACGAGCGGTTCATACTTACGATAGCCAGTGCCAGTGCTGCTCTCATAACTGTAGTTGGCTTTTAAAATAATGGAAAGAAATGATTATTTAGTCGATCTCCTCATAGGTGTAATGACGTATATTTAAAAAGAATCCTACTTCATCTTATTATGGCTAGGCCAACACCTAGCAAGTGTAAAATTCCTTACTCTTGTTATAACTGGGTCCCGAGGGAAACGGTTTGCCTCTGCCCCGGCCGCGACCTCTGTTGGGACCCCAGCCACGGGATCCAGAGTCTGAAGGAATGCCACGAATAGTCCCGAACCCTGGGATGTGCTGTTGAACATGACACAGTAAAATTTGATGTAAAGTGCCCTCAACAATCAAGTCAACTTGACCCGACCACTAGCTAGATACATTACCATGTCGGTGTAGGTGACTTTCTTCTTTGAATAATTTCTGTTGGTGTTTGACACTCCATTGTCGTCTGGGAACAGCTTCTCCAGGGCAGCGAGGGCAGCGTAGGCCTTTGCCTCCTTCTTATTGGAGCCTCTCCCTTTGAACTTCTGCCCATCCACCTCCACCTGAGAGGCAGGAACCGGAGAACAGATCAAAGTTTCTTCCTTTTAAAATCGGCATGCATTACTTCTTCAATATTTCTGTCTGTCACAGTGTGATTCTTATTACCTTCTACCACTAAGAATCAGCAAAGTCAGAAGTTTTAACACTTTACACAAACGTGAAAATCTTCAGTGGACTCTGCAGTGGTCTTCTTCTATGAGACAGACATGCTGACACATTTGATATCAAAGCTGTGATGTGGGGCAGACCAAAGAACTGCAGGCACCACATTAAAGGGGACCTATTATGCTTTTCTGAGCGAATAACTCTGTCAGGGCAAACCTCACTTTTCTCATTTGTATGAAACGCCTCGTTGGGGGTCCAGATGTTACTTCCTGGTCCTATTGATGTCAATACTTCTCTTGGTGCTGCCCACCTGCAAGCTTGGCACGCCCCCACACACAGCACAGCACATAACTACTTATGGTGAAGAGTTTTCTTGAGATTTGTAGCCGCCTTCTTCTAGATTGCCTGGAGAAATCAACGTAAGTTTTTTCCACGGCTCCCTCCACTGCTCCAAACATTATAGTGTGAGCCCGCGCAGAAACCACGCACAGTTAGATGCTTTATTTTCACAACGGTTATTGCTGTACTTCACTCTTGATGTGTCCAAACAGGGGACTCAGGGTCACAGTGTCAGTCTGAATTATTATTGTGGATCTGTGATGTTTAACCGTGTTACTGCGACCTGATCACGTTAGTAAGAAGAAGCAGCAGCGAAGATATAAATGCTTAAACGTTTGTCAATATTGACAAGCTATACCTTCTTAGCTCAGAGAAATTATCCATAATTCAACCGTTCGGTTTGTTTTTCAGTAACTATGCGCACTAAAGTTTAATTCATTCAGCTTTACCTGCATCGTAAACCAGCAGGAGGTGACTCGGTGGAGACTCCCTACCTCTCGACTGTCTGTCTGTTCCTCCATTATTTATATTTAGTCCGGAAGTGTCCACACGTAAAAAATCAAAAGGGTTTCTTTTCTTAAGTTATGAATATTGTCATCCAAAGTCTTTGCAGACTGTCCGGCTTCTTTATTCGCAGCACTCTCCATATTTCTGCCTCTTCCCGCACTCCGGCTGCCTGACAGTGGGTACGCTCGTTTTCTACTCCAGTCCAGCTTGTGAAGGTGGAGCAGGTCTGTCATCTTCTGGTTCAGGACTCTGGCTCAAACCCATAAGGCAGAACCAAGCTGCCACAACCGTTTGTTTACACATGACATCTGGAACATGTTGCCATGGTAGTTGCCAGCAAGCTCCTCCAGAGGGAGGAGGCGGGCCTTAAAGAGCCCTGAACTCTAACAGAGCGTTTCAGACAGAGGGTGAAGAGGGTACAGTATAAAATGTACAGCGGAAGAAAAATAATTTCTTTTCAGAACATTAAAGAATGTCAGTCTTTTTTAGTCGACACCAAGAATGAAATGATGGACACTGAAAATGGCCATAATAGGTCCTCTTTAAAGGCTCAATTGTAGTATTTGTAGCATTCAATACACACGTGGAAAGGAAAGGATGAAACCAAAACATAGAAACCTTTGGATCATCATATAGTCTTGTTTCCTGTGTGTGTTTCCTGTGCCGACTCACCTCCATGACAAAACACTTTTCATGGGAGCCGCCCGTCTCTGCAGACAGCTCGTACTTCAGGCTGCGCCGCTTCTCATTTAGCTCCATCACTGGGTTCTTGCCATTTTTGGTCAAGATGGGACCCTGACCGCTCTGTTCACACACAGGAAGTGGACAAACAATGACTGTTAAGAGAACATCTTTTTCCTCCTCTCCTCTCAGTTTTTGAAAAGAGGCTTTTAAATACACCACTCCAGATGGAGGAACACATCTACATACGTCTTCTGATGTAGTGGAGGACGTGGTAGCAGCTTTTATTGATTCCTGGACTCCTTCACCGTCACCACTGGACTCTGACTTAGATTCTGAGCCTGTTGGAAGACCGAGATCCTGCAGGACCTGTGAATGACAAAAGTCAAAGCATGAACTGACAGGAACACCTCTTCATTCATTTACATGCCCCGTTGGACTGTAACTAAGAGACATGTCTGTGAATCAGTCAGCAAACCACAACAGGAAAACAGGTGAACAGAGGGGTCAAAAATGGGTTTGCAGTCTTGCCTTGGTGGCTACATTAAGCTTGGCCGCTCGTTTGGAAGGCCCAGTGGCCTCGTAGGTCTTCCCATTCAAGTCCACAGCCATTGTGAAGACCGGCTCGTGGACTGGACCAGTTTGAGATGTAAGCCGGTACTCCAGGCCAGGTCTGTACTGGTTCAGACGCATCACAGCATTCATGCTAAAATCATCAGTGACTACAGAGACAAGGAACAGGTAAAGAAAGGCACAAAGAAGGCAATCAAATAATTTAATTCAATCAATTTAGAGATTTGCCTTACACATAATAAGTAGTAATTTGGCAGCATTTCCTCATTTAATTACTTGTATTCCCCAACACTGGCAGCTTTGAATAATTTATTATTTAATATTTTATTTAGCACATTTACAGAAAAAGGTTGTGTACTAAAACACCAGCTTTCTGGCAACTGACTTAAAATATTCCAGATTCAGCATTTGCATTGCTGACACCAACTCTGTGTGTCATACACTAAGAAGATAGAAGTCATGTACCCATGTGCATTAACAATCTTTAGCTCCCTTTAAATAGCCCCCCTCTTACACAGAACGGTGAGGTGGAATAAAGGTGCAACATTACCGCTTTGAACAGGTTGTGTAAAACAGGCTTTTTTGCCACTGTAAAAAAAAAAAGTGAATCTATCAGGGGGTTGAAGTTAAAGACTTTGATTTGATTAGGGTAATTTTCTCCTGTTTAGGAAACATTTTACACCTGCCAGGTCATGCGTCCACAATCAAAGTGAATCATTTGGCAGTTAAAAGGCTCAGGCCTTCACCAAGGCCTCAGAGTAATTACTTACATGATTTCCTCTGAAATCGCTTCTGGAACTTGAGAAACTTCCTCTGTTTGCTGTTGAGATGGGGCTCGTCCTCTTCTTTCTCCACCTCAGAGTACGACCTCTTAGCTGGCAGGCTGAAAGGACCAGCAGGACCTATCTGAGCTGCAGGAAACGACAGAGACAAGCCTGAGAACAGATCCTTTTCATGAAAGCATGAAATGATTCCTGAGCGACATGAAAAGGGGAGAGATTGCAGATCAGTAGGTACCTGTACCATCTTTGCCACTGATTCCCATTGACCTCCGTGGCTTTATAGGTTTGTAGTCCCTCCCCAACACCTTGTGCATCTGTCCAAATGCACACTGCCTCAAGGCAAACTGTGAAAAATATAGAAGTTAGATACTTTTCCAGAGTTAAAAAATATGAGTGCGCTTGTGCTTGCATGTATAAGCGGCCTCATCTTACCTGAGCACTCTGCGTGATGTCTTCACGCTGCTGCAGAGTTAAATGTTCAGTGGCATCAACTGTTTCCTTCTCACATGGATCTTTAATTCCAGGGCCATCTTTGCACACATACAGATAAATTAGTACATTAATGCTGAGGTCAGCGTATGAACGTTCATGCTGGTTTGACAAACTCACCTTCAAGGAGGATTCCAGATGCAACACACTCCAAAACCCTGCGGAAAGATTCGCCTGCTCCCATTGGTCTCTCAGATGTACCAATAGCTTTCTCTACCAGCAGTTCAAGAGGCTGTGTGGAGAAAAAGGGCAGCTAGTACACAGACTACTTATCAAGATGTTGCTCTATTGAGAAAAAAACAAAACAAAAAAAAACTGATCACAGATCTAAAAAGGAGTTGGTTTACACACAACTACTTCTTTGTTGCTGCTCTAATATAATGTGCAACAATGGTTTCCCTACCCATCCTGAGAGTGGCATCCAGGTAGGAACACGGTTACACAAGTCCCTCATGATCCGGATCACGACAACGGCAGAACTCAGGTCGCTGACTTTGGCCTGGAGACACAAACAAAAGCCTGTTCAGTGGGAGAAGCTGCAGACTCTGATGTGACCTCACCCCTGTGCTTTCAGGGTTCCCACAAAAAGACCCGGAAAACAAGGCAGGCACAGAAGGTCAGAACAACTGAGCCGTCTCCAGATCAACAACTGTTAAAACTAATATATATGTATAGTGGGGTTCAAAAGTCTGGGACCACTTTCCCATTCACCTGAATGGTAATGCAGTCTCAAACCAATGGACTCCACTGTACATTAGACATGCCCACTTGCTCTTTGTTGTACAGCTCAGTCTGGCAGACGAGATTTTAATCAATCAGATTGGATGCTGGTGTCGATACCAATGATTGATTTAATTCTGTCATTGGTATGGATCAGCAGATCACTCTTCTTACATTCTTCAACTTTGACATTTTAGGATTATGAGCTACATCAACTACAACTGACAGCACAGTTAAAAACTGTGACTCACTCTAAATTGAGATAAAATAAAGAGATCACTCAAAGAAACAGTTCAACCTTAAGTACAAATAAGGACGTGAATGCAAACCTGGAACCACTTGGCGTGGCGGAGAGACGCCAAGGCAGTTAGGCATTTCTGCCTGTCCAGAACGTCCGGCGGATCGTTGACTGTTCGCGTTTCTATTGACGAGGTGGGGTAAGAAGAAAAGGTACAGTTTGACCAAGGGGGTTGGCTCTGTCTTGCAGCTCAGGGAGTAGCAGCTTCCCACAAACCACCAGCAGCTGGGAAGGGGGGTCGCAAGTACCTAATGTGTAATGTTGGTCCAACAAACCAGACAGTCACCTGTCACAGATCCCAGCTAAATCTTCCACAGTGTATGAAAAGTGGAAGCAAAAAAGACTGTCATAGAGACACAGTAGTATTTACAACATTGCATAGCATGTTGTTAATGTATGCACTGGGTAAAAACTACAATAAATACCCCCTTCCCTCAGCCCCTCGGCTTGGGTTTGCTGCTTTCCCCCCCTCCTGAGACAGTGTGTCCAGTTGGTCAAAGGTCCAGCGTTCCTAAAAAACTTGACAAACTAAAAGGCAATCAGTTGTAAATCACAAGCATTTAGAGAATCTACACGTCTGCCCCACACTGCAGCAAAACTGATGGAGTCCCTGTCCCAACACTGGCTTCAGCAGGCCTTATTAAAAGGTTAGAGCCATACCAGCTGTGTGCAAGTTTTAGCTCATTTTCTACACTACAATTACAATTCAGCTAATCTACCCCCAACCTTTTGATTTCAAAACTACGCCACGACGAACGGTTGAATGAGCAATAGGAGAGATTAAAACAAGACTGCATGATAAAAGCTTGCATATTAAAATTTTTCTTTACATAAAATTAAGTCTTGACATGAAATTGGTGTCTTCTTAAGACAAACAAACCAGTAAATATTACATTTAATGAGTAATACTAATAAGGAAGGCACTACATTAATGTAATATTATCAAATAAAAATCAATAATCCTAATGAGGAGGATGCAGTTCCACAACAGCTGTTTAAATAGTTCTCATATGCAGCAGCAGCAGCAGCAGCAGCAGCAGCAGCCATATTTGGGAATCATAGGCACATCTATCAGCCCATGACAAACACCAGATGACTCAGACTGTTTACCAGTGACTATGGAGCGTTTGATTCAATCTACTTGAGCAGACCCTCTTTAATACAAAGTGTCATAGCTGCACCTGATCAGGTCTGACTCATTGTCTGACTCATTGTGGAAGCTATTATACAATTTCAAATGTGCAGCCCCAGTGTGCAGTGTAGTAAATGGACTAAAACTGCACTGAGACCGGTATGGTTCTGTACATGGGGCTTCAGCAAACTCCCCCCCTGACCTTTAAAAGAACTCACTGTAACTTTAGACCCTTGTGTAAATACAGCTCATGCTGATTAACACGGAAGCTCCACAAACACTCCACTAACTAACAAACAAATTCATACATAAACAGACAATCACTTAGGTGTTCCTACTTTTTTTCCTGTCTGGTTAAATTTAAACTCTCTTCTGAGAAACCAAAGGAAACTCCTCTTGCCGATCAGTTTTGCTGCAGCTGGTGCCAAATGTACATGTTCAGCATCAAGTACATGCAGTGCGCGCTTTAACTTGTTATTCTTGAAAAAGCCTTCACTTTAAACATGAAAACAATTCAACAAGAATACACAAAGTTTTTTTTTTCTTTTTTTTCTATGACTGAGGCAATGTCATTAACAACATGTGCAGAGTGTGTCAGCGACTACAGAGGAAATGTGTTGCTGGCAAACACCAGTTTGTCACAAAACGACGACAGGACTCTCGAGCGAGTGAAGAGCCAACATCCGTTGGTTGTTCACTGGCCTTGGTCTAAGACACTGTACAAGCTCCACTGAGGTTTAATCTGATGATGCAGGTGGCTAACTTGTTTGGTTTGAACTGCCAGAGCAAAGCACAGATCAGTGGAGCAGTATAGTGTCTGCATACCGAGAACACACAGATCAGCCTTGTGGGAGCTGATGTCTAGTTGCAGGCTGGACCGACATATGTACCTTCTTCTTCTGCAGTTTTACTTTCTTGCTCAGTCCTGATGAGAGGTGATGTCAAGTGGATAGTGAGAGTCAGGGCTGACTCCTTTGTACTTGTCACAACAATGGCTGCATCCCCTGGACACTGGCTCACTGTGTACGCCCCAACTGAAATAGCCTGTTAAAAAGAGGAACAAACAGTCAGGAATGCAAAGATGAACTCTTTAAATCTCAAAAACAACCCAATCTTCCAAATCTGTGTTTATGGAGAATGACATAAAACGACTGCAGGTACATTTCTACCTCTAACTGTTCAGTTAGCTTTTCAGCCACTTGTTGAAGCAGGGTGATAGTAGGTTTGTTCGAACAAAGCAGCACCAGCTCCAGGTCCTTGTCTCCCTTCAGCAGAAGTCCTTTGGCCACCAAGCCGACCCTCATAACCCCACGCAGGACACGCTCTTCAGAATCAGTACTTGGACTGCAAGGAGGAAAAGAATATATAAAAAAAAAAAAAAATGATCTAATTATTTATATTAATTAGATTTAAAAAAGGACTCATGCATTTTAAAACTCATTTGACATACTTTGTAGTCACTTGTGACAACTGGCACAGCCCATTTGGACACTTTGCTTACCTCTGTGCCTCTGTATTTTCTTTGCTGTCTTTTGGAGTATCCATCTGGTCAGACACAGTCTTCAGAGCACACTCCACATGGGACACGATTTTCTGCACCGCCTCCAGCTCTTCTGTTGAGGGGTACACTTCAGAGTGCTTGGCCATCACGTGGCGATCATATGGCGTGCGCACCTGGGGGGATGAAGCCTCCTTCATTGGAAAAACCAGAGAAGCAAGGTTTGTATTGGAGAAAAGATAAACATAGTGTGGATGACAGAAAATGTTCGGCTCATACTGTAATCATATCATCAATCATTTGAAATTGCTCTGTAATGACCAGATGATTGATTCATCATTAAGAGCAGTTCTTTCCTTACCTACCGATATATTCTAGTGAAACATAACAAGCAAAGCAAACATAGAATTGAGAAGTATAAAATTAGTGGGAATAGTTGAGATAGGCATGATTAAAAAAATTTGGAAAAAGAAAAATTAACATGCACAGGATACAGCTTCCTTGCAGGAGAAGAGTTGTCTTTTTAAACCACACCAGGAAATAAAACGGTGATGAAAAACACTAGATGTTCATTCTTAGAGTGAAAGAAGGAAAAGAAGCCTATGGATTATCGAGTCTTGATCAATTTAGCAGGGGAAAGAACCACCTCATAATGCTGTTTATCCTCAATCTCCTCGATAGCAGCGATGTAGTCATGATACTGTCTCAGCTCCTCCTCGTAGCACAGGCAGTCGTACCAGTAACGCAGCTCCTCGTATCTAGAAGGAGGACGCCACAGAATGACATTGACGACAAGCTCAGATGTTTCAGACAAAAGCAGGTGCTACATCAATGAATAAATGTGAAATGGGATGTTTGGTAAATGCTAAGTAGCACAGCAATCATCGTTTTTCATTGACACTTTAAAATGGTTAATAAAGCTTGATCTGTGCTGTATAATAATCCCACATTTAATTCAATGGGCTGTGACACTAAAAGTGTAAACACTGAACCTGAGGAGTACTTTGTGAGTGTGTAGGGATATATTTGTGGTCTTTTTTTCATTTTAATTTATATTCTTTTTTTTCTTTTTTTTAAATAGTTCATTATCATTTTATTCATTGTTACTGATGGTTGATCTAAAGCTAGGCTCCAAAGCTCGTTTCATTTGCATGAAGCTTGTATCAAACTGCTTTTACCATGTGACTGATGACGTCTGAAGCTTCAAATGTCGCTGAACCACTGGGGTGGGCGGGGAGAGGTTTGAACAGTTCAAACATTGCCAACATCGAGAGGTATGGTTTGCATTTATCACCTGTAATTTAAATATATCTAATTAAAGTACCAGTAACAAATATTGTGTTTGTCTAGGTATCTGAAAGACGCACAATTGGCAAGTCCAGAGGACCCACTACAGCACTGGGTGACTCACAAGCCTGAATATCCCCACTTCTTTCAGATGACTATGCAATATCTTTGCTCGCCAGCATCCTCAGGGGCATGTGAAAGGATCTTTTCCAAAGCTCCAAGTTCCAAGAAACCGTCTAAAGCCCAGGGCTCTATTTTCAAATAAAACCCTCAGTGAAAACATAAACACACTTTTCCACAACCACAAAAATGCCCCACGTTCAAATGCACATCCACCAAATTCTCTTGTATTTCTGATTGTACAGCACACTGCCGTATAATAATATAATAAAATTAATTTATATAGCACTTATGAAAATCATTATTGATATTGATTAATTTTATTGTAGAAAATAACAATTTAACCCATTTACATGTTTACATGATACTGCACATCTGTGAATTTAGGAATAATCACATCTAGTGTAGCATAGCACTCCAATAAATTTAGAACATTCTAAACTACATCCTTGATTTAATATCATATTCACTGTTAGGCTCTTATAGCACATACAGAGAGCGAGTGTTATGCTGACTGCACTCCCTTTAATGGCTGCTGTAGTTTCTGCAAATCTCTAGATGTCACGGTCAGTTCTTTCATCAAAGCTTTAAAGTTTTGGCTCTTTTCCTCAGACAATCAGGAGAAAGCTTCATGAGGCTTAATCCGTCCATCCCCATCATTTGTGTTCTCCTGTCCAAGTTACTTGTGGCTGTGTGCATTTTAATGTAAAGCTGTAGTATAACGATTAAATGTAGTATATAAATACATTTACTTTTACCATATCTCAGTGTCATTATATTATTACCTATCAAAATCATGCGGGAGGAGCCGGTGGCCCTGCTGGATCAGACTGTCCCAGTACAGCAGCTCCTCATACGCCTGGTGCTCATCCCACATTGGCGTTGCAGCGGCCGCCATGCTGTCACGACTTTCGTGCAGAAGCTACCACCTGTTTTAGCAGCAAAATCCCTTGTTAGCCATTGTGCAACTGGTCGATGACAGGCGGATGATTAAAACATCTGTCCGACAAAAATAGACGTTTACCTTCCCGTCCTCTGTGCAGGGAAGCTGCTGCGATAAACTGTGACAGCTAATTAGCTGATGTTTACAACACTGGCCGCCCACTTGGTGTTAGGCAGCAAGCTAACGTTAGCCAGCATGCTAGTACGTTTGGCATTAGAGACGGTCACTTTGTACAATACCGCTGTCTTCAGTCTGTTTCGTTCAGGTAGTTAGGACTTACCTTTAACGAGAGACCTTTCTGTCGTTTCCACCTTTTCTTCTTCTTCTTTATTTTTCCTCGTTCTCCTTCTTCTTCTGTCCGTCATATGGCGCATGGCAACCGTTGGGTAGCACTACCGCCACCTACTTTGCTGGAGTGTGGACAGAGACAGGTTTACTGCCAAGTACATTTTAACATATTAGGAATTTGCTTTGGTGTTTTGGTGCATAACCAATCCGTACTCCGTACAACCCCATGTGAATTTGCAAGTTAATTAAGTATTTCATTAGTTGTAAAGCCACGTTAAAAGTAGCCCTCTATGAACTTACAATCCATCTCAGTGTCAACTTTAATAGATCTCACGCCAAAGAGCTGCTGCAACTTGTGCTAAAGTATCCCACAATTTCGACTTTTGTGTCTCATAATAATGACTTTTTATCTCATAATTATGACTTTGGTGTCTCATCATTTCGACTTTTGTGTCTCATGACTTTTTATCTCATAATTATGACTTTGGTGTCTCATAATTTCGACTTTTGTGTCTCATAATTATGACTTTTTTAATCTCATAATTAAGTCATAATTATGACTTACCCTGGGGATATTTATTTTCTTTCACTGGCAGAAAACAGTTAGTTTCTACTGTATGTGGTGTAGTACATATACTAACCAAGCCAAATATACTCATTGTCAAAACAGGCCAGTTTGTTATGGAATGACAATTTGTCAGTGAGAAATACAAAAATTCAGGGTTATATGTCACATTGCATTGTTTTATTTACATTCAAAGTTCTTTACATTTCCTCAGTAAATTGAGGGTACAGTTCAAGTATCAACTTATAAAATCTTACATTGTTTCACATAAAGCAATGAATAAACACTTGAAAAGCATATTTAAACTTAAACATTCATAAACTCCACAGTATTTGAATATTAACAGTCCTTTATGAAATACATTCAGCAGAATACTTATCATCACAAATACACTCTAAATACCTCTGGGTTTATTCTTGAGCTCCCTCTGGTGGTTACAGTTCAATTAATCCACATTTGTCTAATATAAGAGCAAGTCGCTGTGCCATTTATTTATTTTTTACTTTCAAAGCTGGTGAAAATGAGGTTGAAAAATAAAATAAAATAATACTCAGTTGCTCTGTAAATCACTCCTGCAGCCCTCTGCGGCGTGGTTAATACTGCTTTCATATCCTGCAGCCGACATCTTTGCCCTTTTGTTGTTATGAGTTTCCGAATAAGAGTATAATAATAATAATAATAAGGAATGTTCACTTATTATAAGTAAACAGTACGAAGTTTATGATATTTTGTGCAAAATCACAGCATTAGCTAGCTTCCATTTGTAAGGACAATGAATTCACTGGTAAACGTTGATGGAGTATGAAAGAGAGATTTTAGTTGAATCCATTACATTTCTAAAGTGGACCAGCTGAGAAATGTCATACTTCACATCTAAACTGGTATACAGTTACAAAGTTTGTTCTTTCCACCTGCTGCTATGTGGGTCTCTCCATCTAAATGTCTTGAGATCTTCATATGTTTAATAACATGGTGACAAAGTACATCCACAACAATCACACTTGGTTGACTTCCTTCTTCTCTGAGCTGGGAAAAGAGGTCGGCTCCCAGCGGCCTAATATATTACCCCTCAGGCCCACTTGGCACTTGGCAATGAGGTAGATTTTGCGGAGGACGGTGCGGCGCAGCAGTATGTAGACCCAGGGATCGAGGATCTGGTTCCATGTGGCCAGCCTCACGCCCATCACCATCAGGGTTTTATAGTTGGACAGGTCGTCCCCGATGGATCCTGTGTAGGAGTGGATCACGGACATCAGGCCAAAGATCTGCAAGCATGAAACACATGCTTGCAATTAGAGTTTGGATGGTAAAGCAAAAATTACTCAAAAATAACACGATAACAACATCTTAAAGTGATCTAGTTTATTTCATAAAAACACAACAAATGGATGCTCACCAGTATTGTTTTTACATCACATTAAATACCTTTACCTTCAGGTAAATAAGTGTTTTGTTAAAAATCCTCCCTCCTGCCTAATCATAGTTGGGCATGACCCTACCTCAACCTGACAAGCCGTACACCTGAACTGAAGGCTGAGCGCAAGTAAAAGTAAAAGTAAAAGTAAAAGTAAAAGTAGGGTGAGCGACAGCACAAAGTGTTTGTCCTGAAAATATTGGATACACTTTTATTATTAAAAGCTGTAATGTACTTTGACGTCACTGCAGCTTAATACAAAAGTTTTCATGGTAAATAACAAACGTTTAATGTGTAAAATCTGAACGAATGAGGTGATGGCTGTGGTCTAATGTGAGGTGGATCGTGTTTCTTTTGGAATCGATCCCACTGATGCTCGAACTGTAACCGATGCTCAGAAGACTATCGATCTGCTCAGCCTACTGAAGGTCATCAGTTGAATGCTGGGAATTACATGCCGATGGCAACAGGTGAAACAAAACTGACAAGGCAGTGAGGGAGCTGTCCGTCAAGCACGCAACATAAGTGATGTGTTAGTGAACTAGAGTGTTGTTTAAAGGCTTATGGTAAAAATTATATTCTATATATATTATATTATAGGACATATAAAGCTGACCAACAGTAGACTTAATAGTAGCAGCATGGCTGGCTTTTTTTATTATTATGTAACCTGACAGAGGGCTCTCAGAGCGCCAGTGTGAAGATGACCACGCCGTACGTTTCCCTCTCATTGTACTTCCTGAAACTCACCAGCAGAGGGCTCCAGCAGATACACGAGGTGACCATGATGCCGACCAGCTGCACCACCATCTCTATGTCGTGCGACTTGGCAGAGTGATGGGAGCCGGGCTGCCTCCTGAGCCGAGCGAGCACCAGCGTCAGTCCGCTGATGGTGTTACACACCATCGCTACAGCCAGCGAGGTCAGACCAAGTCCAGAGAACAGCACCACAAACGCCACATCCACCTCCTCAGTGTCACTGAGCACGTTAATGAAACACCAGGTCCCTGGGTCCTGGTAGTTGTAAGATCCCAGTTGAAAGCAGGGAAGGATGGCCACGCACAGAGCTGCCAGCCAGATGACAGACAGGCAGATCTTCGTGCGGGTTTTGGTGACCAGGGCCGAGTGCAGCAGCGGCCTAGTGACACCCAGGCAGCGCTCGGCAGCCATGGCGCAGCCCATGAAGAGTGGGCACAGGCCAAAGAACACCATGCTGCCACCCAGGAACTGGCACATGCCATCAGAAGAGTCGAAGTCCTCTGGGCGCACACCTCCATGCAGGTAGAGTCGGAGAACCAGGGCACCAGGGATCACGTGGCCAATGAAATCTGTGACCACCAGTGAACTGGCAAACAGGAGGAACGTGGCTTTGGAGCGCCGGCGCTGGAGGGAGTAGGCGTTAGCCAGGATAAAGAGGGCCACAATGTTCGAGATGATGCCCAGCGTCATGGACAGTATGACGACAATGACGCCGCTGGTGTTGGGCTGCACAGAGGAGAAGTTTCCCTGCTGCAACAGGCCCTCAACAGCCACCCCGACCTCCACCTTCCCTGCACTGTCATTAGAGAAATGAGGGAGGAGCGGGGAGGCCGAGGAGTTGTAGTGGCTCAAAGCTAACATCACTGAACTCTAGAGGTCATGGGGTCCATAGTTACAGGAGGCTGCAAGAGAAAGAAGAGGCAGATCTGATTTTTCAATTGTTCATAAACTGGATCAAAGTAAAATTCTGTTTTGTTGATATTAAAAGTCTAATTAAAAGCAGTAAATGTTACACATGCTTAACATGAAGGTGGAAATTTAATTAACACTTCCACACACACACACACACACACACACACACACACACACACACACACACACACACACACACACACACACACACACACACTAAATGGTTTAATGAATATGAAAAGGTTGTGAATCATATGCCGTGGCCTTCACAGCCCCAACTGAACATCTATAAGATATTGTGTTGGGCGAGTTAGAGCGCTCTCATCACCATCATCAAAACACAGAATGAGGAACTATGTTTTGGATGAACAGTGTTTGTCAATCTGTTTCGGAAGCTAACGGTGGCCCAACACCTCACTTACAACATTTATGTTGGTTTTTGCCTTAAATTAGTAACTTGTATCTTTTAAGATCAGAATTTGAGGCCCACGAAACAGAAAAAGAATTGAACAACTACAAAGTCTTCACAGATAATATGGCTAGACCTGACTAGACTCTCTTCTTATGAAACTGTATTTGAACTTGAGTTGAACAGTGGGTCGCTCTGTGCATGGTGTCAAAAAAAAAAAAAGCAGAAGTCACAGACACAGTGAAGATGTGTCAATCAATAACCATGATGCAGAGTGGTTTCTCTTCACTCAGGTGTAGTTTGGCTGGAGGTCAAACACAGGTCGTAAACAGGACCGTCCTCCCAGCAACACACTAACTAATAAAGCAGTTAACACCAGAACAGAGCACACTGAGAGCTATGGTATATTATCTTTCATCATAGTAATATAGTACCTGATTTTTGTTGTCTACACTGACCTTACAAGGTAATTACTGCTCAGATTTCTCCCAGAATGAGTTATGAGTTATGGATTTTTTGAGAATATCAGCTGCTGACAGTGTTTCTCATGGAGTCCAATGTGACGTAAATCAACTTAAGAAAATAGCGAGAGAGAGAAATGCATTTCTCTATTGCTCATTCCTTCATAATTTCTCATGGAGCAGTTTGTCCATTGGGGAACAGCTGCCATTAGAAACGCCAGTGACCGCACAGATCTGCACCCGTTTGCAGAACTGGAAAATTAAAACCATAGTATTAAAAAACAGTATAAATGCTATCTATCAGGTTTTTAACAAAGAGGCAACCCAGTTCTATTTCTTAGTAATTTTCTCTGGAGAAAAAAAGTAAACTTTATTCGTTGCTTTTATTATGATACGATTTTAAATGAAGACATGACTCACCACTACATAGCTCTGATATCCCTCTCAGTGCAGCTGAACATCCAAAAGATAGTTTTCCGTGTGTAACAGATATCCACAGATACTCTCAGCGGTCCAGAAACAGAGGAAGAAATGTCTTTTCCTTAACATCAGAATTCATGTTTCCCTTTGATAAACTCCGCTGCGGGATAATGTCCATGGCTGGATCCGTCCGGCTGCTGCATGGCGACTTGAAGGTTGTAAAGGATCCCCACTGACACTAAAACACAGAAGCACGTTTTTATAGCGCGTCTTTCCGCCTTCAGTCTGTGTGGGCGTCTCTGCCCCCCCCCCCTTAGCCAAGTTCACGTCTCCCCCCCCCGCTGCCGCTGCCGCTGCCGCTGCTGCTGCTGCTGCGCTTTGCGTCGCTGCTCTGTGTTTACATTACGTCTCCGGCCAGTAAGCACAGTTTAATGTCCTTACTCACTATACGTGTGTCCCCTACATTTCTAAGAAATTATCTCAAACAGGCCTGTTTTATCTTTTGGCAGCACATTGTGGACACCAAAGCTGCTTTGATTTACATTGCTGCAGATGTTTCAGTCATAACTTTGTCACCACGTTGTTTGGATTTACGCGCTTGGTTAGAGTCTGTGACTTTTACTCGTTGTGGCCTAAGTTAAATTGTTCAGCGTTTTGTTTCCTGAAGAGCCTGGATCGATGTGAACAGATTCAGTTTCACGGCACACATTCATTTTCTTTTACAGTTTAATGCGCAACTCTGCGCTCAAAATAACCTCGGAGGTATCAGATGTGCAGAAAGATCCGGTTGTGGATGTGCTGCTCATCAGTCTGGTTTTCTATTTCAGTTCTCTGAATAAATGACCTCAGCGCTGGGAAGGTAGGTCAGACACGTAGTTGGAGTTAAATAAAAAGATGAAATTAGGTGAAATTATCTAAAAATGTATTTGTTTTGCAGTTGTGTTTTTGGAATTCCAAATACCTATTAGTTCTGGGAACTCATAGGGATAGTATGGAAAAGTCATATTCGCCCTCATGAAAGATCCAGATGTTCCTCCAGGACTCTGATGTTAGTCTGAAGGTTTTTGCAGCTGTATCAAGGAAAACATGTCAATTTTTCATCTTGGTGATTGACAGGCTGAGAGGGAAAAACTAGGAAGAGGCATGATGTATCTCTCTTTTGGTTCTCTTGCTGCATACTAGGGACAGGTGGTCATGTTTGTTTTAATTTTACAACGATCTGGCAGCCCAGCTGGACACATACTTGCACAAGTTGTGGTTTGGAAAGGGGGGAAAAAGCAACATCTCAAATTGGCTGCGGGTTCACAGGAGAGAGAGAGGAGGTAGGCACTGACACATAAATTGGTTTACAAAAATTAGAACGAGAGGCAGCTGGACAAAAGGCTCTACTGGCAACAGTGTAACAAGTCTGTGAACTGAAGATCCAGACAGGCGAGTTCAAGGGAAAAACCAACACCAAGTAAGTGCAGTAAGTTGTTGGGCCACCACATGCAGCCAGAACAGCGTCAGTGCTGCTTGTCGCTGATTCTACGAGACTGAACTGTACTGGAGCGATGAAAACCTTTCTTACAAAAGATGTTCCCTCATTTGGTGTTTTGATGATGGTGGTGGAGAGCGCTGTCTAACACGTGGGTCCAAAATCTCCCTTAGGTGTTCAACTGGATTGAGATGTGGTGATCTGCCATCCGTGCCCCAACAACCAACCCTCTTTCAAAATCACTTAGATCTTTTCCTCTTGTCATCTTGATACACAATCAGAATCAGCTAGGTCTACACAGCATTTTCATACCTACCATAGTGCATGATGGGACGCTAATTGTACCATGTAGTTTACCTGTGTGGAGGCATCTGCATTTGTTATGTTTCTCATTTATTCACCTGTCTGTATATTGTAGAATGTAACTACATGTTAAACTGTCAAAATATGAAAAATGTCTTTTAGGGAAGGATTCATTTGCAAAGGTACATCTGTTGTAGGTTTAAGAAGGGATCCAGCTAACACTGAATAAAAACACACTTGGCATATAACCTCTCAGGATCTTTGACACTATAAGAGTCAACATCCATTTTATAGGTATGGCGGTGCTTTGAGTTGAATACTAATGTCAGCATGCTAAGATGCTCACAATTACACTTTAAACATGCTGATGTTTAGCACGAACTGATTAGTTCTCCACCTAATTTGACTATTGACTCTATAATAAAGGCATAAAATGCGCAATAAAATTTGGGGGGGGGGGGGGGGGGGGACAAACAATTGGGGTAGCGATTGAGATGCTAACCCTGAACTGCAGTGTCCTTGAAGTTAGAGTCTGGCGGCATGTGTTGCATCTCTCTCTCCCTTGTTTCCTGTCATCACTCTACCAAAGGCTTCAAATTCCCCCCAAAATCTTTAAAACTGAATAAAACTGTCAATCTGGCTCTAGAAGAAAAGTAAAGCAAAGGATTCATCCTCTGGGGATAATGAATGTCTGCGTTATCTTTCATGGCCGTCCATTAAAATAGTTCAGTCAGGACCAAAATAATGCACTGACAGATGAATGACAGACTATTGCCATCCTTAAGAGTCACGCTACCATTCACTTAGCTTGTATTTTTCTGTTGACCTATTATAGTAAAAACACACATAGTAACCGTCAAACACAAAAACAGATGACTGTGAATTTATGCACGCTCAGTTCTGACTAGACTGTTGCTGATTTCAAAGCCCACAGAAGGGATTCAGGATTAGAGGTTAGATTGCTTTTTATTTTTTATTAGCTTCATACATCTTATTAGCACATCAGAATAGGCATGTTTCAGTGTCTGCTGCTCTTGGACCAGAAAACCAATAATTCATGTCTGATCGCTTCCTTTCCTGGTGCCCATTTAGACTCTTTAAGTGCAACAATCAGGAGTCTGGCCGCCATGTGCGTTATTCCTCCAGCTCTGAAAGGAGACCCTGTTGCCCCCATTTTTCTCATCACTCGGTCTTGCAAATGGTGCCATTTGGCCTCTGCAGACCACTGGCTCTTCCAACACCAAGTCTAGGGTTTATGGGCTTGAGGTTCCTTCTACACCCTTTCCCCTTTCACTGACCACAAAGTGAAAAAAAAAAAAAAAACCCACTGACTGCATACCTGATCATCTCAGAAGCGCTCTGAGATGGAAGAGCTCTTCAGCCTGGAAAAGTTTACAGTGAGATCTCTATCGTTTCATGAAGTTGGAAATGTAATATTGGAGAAAAAGCTTCAAAACGTTTTCTTGTTGCATGTGCACACAAGTATTCCATCTTGGCTTCAAGACTCCAAACTCCCCCACCACAACTGTTCAACAGTTCCTCTCAACGGCCATTTCGCCAAACCGTTCTGCTAGAGCACATGCCTGTATGTCAGAGAGATTGACTGTTTCTTACCATGTGAATCGCTTTGGAGCAGACAGGAGTTTGGTTTGCCAGTAACTGTGCTCTCTAATCTCTGAAGTATGATTTTTTTTTTATTACAGCAAGGAAATTCAGGCTGAAGACAAATTTTCACAACTGCAATGTGCCAGCTTTAATCAAACTATGTGACATCATGTAAATGCATTCAGTGTGGCAAAGGTAACCACGGGGTCATGTGCTTGTGCATTCCTCGCTGACATTTTTAGGGGAGGTACTGGCTATTATGAGTGGAAAGCCACACGCTATCTGTCTGGGCGTCTCAGATACTACTGGCCAAAAATGAAACAGTGGAATGTTTGCATGAGAATATTCAGCGGAGAGAAGAGGAGACAAACAAGCTGTCAGAGGCAGAAACAAGTTCAGATACTTTTCTCTGATGAAACGCACACTCCTTGTGGTGCAAATTGTTTAAAAGCTGCTGTCTGACTGTCTGGCTGGAACCCAGAGGTCATTGCTAATATTCAGTTACTGTTTTGCCTACTGTATGTCTCGAACTGTTATGATGGGAGGGAGTGCTCACTGTGCCAAGAGAAAATGGCAAAAATCACAATATGGTGAAAATCCACAAATACTCAGAGGTTGTCATTCATTCTGGGCAATGCAAAACATGAAAAAGTACTTGTGTTCCCCAGCCTTCTGAAGAATGTCCATGTGATGCAGCGCAGATTTCAAATTGAAGGTCAACATTTTGAGGAAATCTGCGTAATCGTGCTGCGCGTTTTATTATTGAGTCAGAGTTATTTGGATGAGTAGCAGTACTTAATTCGAAATGATTAATAATGCACAGCAGCTATAACAATAACGCTAGAAACACGTAAAATAAATGTCAATCAAAGCAAAGACTGTTGGATGAGGATGGAGGGGGTTGTCAGTGTTTTCTACAATGAGCTTAGGGATGCTTGATGAATATAGCAGCGGCTCCCAACCTTTTTCCAACTCATGGCCCACTTGAAAATCTCACAGCTTGTACCCTAAAGTACCTGCACCTTTTTTTGGAGAGACAAAAACCAGAAACAAATAGGCAGAAAGATTTCCTCACTGTTCTGTGTTGACACATGCAGGTGAATATTCACTGGAGCATTTGAGCAAACAGAACTAAAATGTTTAGACAGAGATGCTTCAGTGGGGTGATCTATTCAGCTTTCCTTTCCACAACACCCCGGTCTAACATGACGTGAGACAATCCAAAGGCTTTCATGTGAAGTTATAAATGGATGTTGTGAATGTTAAGCTCAAGGTCCTGGAGAACCTTGCATTTATTTTGGGATTATATTTTATTTAGACCTTGCAGAAGCTTATCCAGACCAAATATTTTTTCTTGCAGTGTTAAGAGAGCTGCCGTTGTCCACGTTTGGCTTTGGTTTGTTGTGCTTTGTCCAAACTACAGGAGGGGGTGTGTCCAACAATTTCTGTCAACCTTTTGAAACCGATCTGCCATTCACACACACTTGCTGTGTGCAGGTGAGAAAGCAAGCAGGACTTAAACTTCTCTCTTAAGTCTATTTTTTTTTAATGTCCTCCAGGAGCGACTGCATAAAAATGTGTACCTCATATAAACCAGCAAAGCACAGCCCTGCCTTTAGTGAATCACTGACTATAAAACCACGAGGTTGACATTTTTTATTTTGTGTGAAATGTCGTGCCCACTACTGGATACATTACCATAGAATGTGGTGCAGACCTGATGCAAACAAGACATCGATACCGCATTGGATGCCAGATACAGCATCTCTATTGATCACTTCCTGCAACATTACAGCAAAAAATTGAAATTATAAGGCATCATTCTTAG